TGAACTTGAGGTTTTAGTAAATCTGTGGCTGTAAAAATATCATCTGGTTGTGGTTTTGATGAGTCAGCCTCACAGTTCAGTTGTGCATTTCGTGCTTGGTGAGCAGTTGAGAAGCCTTGCGCAGAAATATATTGTCTTGTCTGTACGCACTTTTCGCTATATTGCAAAATCAGCGTGGCAGTTTAAAACTTTTCAATGATTTTTAGAAGAAAAGAGAAGAAGTCGTGGTGTTTTGAATTTATTGTCGGAGAGGATGCTGTCCATACGTGTGCATGCATGTAACACCAGCCTCTCCCATCATGGTCCTCTTCCACACCTTGTTTCTTGTCAGTCATCCTGGCTTGGGCGTGGTTGACATTACATCAGTAAGGTATGTGGAGGAATCTACGACTCATTGCTTTCAGAACAGAGGAGCATTTGCAGAGCAAGAAATTGTAACTTCATTGTGCCTTTCCTCGCTTTAGGCAATGGGAGAGTGATTGCATGACTTTTAGGAGCTTCTCAATTGAATATGAGAGTATGAGAGAGTCTTGTAAAAAGTCAAGTTCGAACAAAGACCCCTCATTTGGTTTACAGCTTCTCTTGCAGAAATGCAAATCACATGGTGAGAAGTGCACTAAGCAGATCCATGTGCTCTTTCCCAGCCAGCAAGACAAAGTCAACAGCAGCTTCAGTAAATGTGTGTCACACTAAGTTGTGTTGTTTTCATTATGTATTTGATGTGTCAGCAGGTGGGATTGATATTTATGGACAGTGGTAGTTGGCTGACTAGATGTTTTTTACGTTAAGCTTTTAGAGTAGCAAGTAGTCTCTGATGCTGTATTATAATGAAAATGACAAAATATTAACATTCTTCAGATTTCAGGTCAGGATTGTGGCACACAGGGTGTCTTTTCAAGTTGTGTGAAATCCTTTCCTAGTAATAAGTCTCATGAGTCACAGTCTCTAGACTGAGGCCAAATAAGAAGAATGTACAAAAGCTTGTTCGACTCCTCACCCAAGTCTGCAAGGTAGACTTGAAGGGCTCAAACACGCTAATCATGTTCCTTTGAATGCAGTCAGCTGGGGAGCTATTAATGAACCTCCCAGTCAAAGCCGTGCCCGTGATCTCAGGATTAGGCGAACAGTTTATGCTGCTTGACTAGCTAGTTGACTGATCTGTTGTTTTTATTAGCCTGTGTCTACTGCAGCTCAGAGGCACTAAATGTTGGCGCTTGCAAATAGCCCCTCGTGTGTTCAGTGTGTGTGTGTGTGTGTGTGTGTGTGTGAGTGTGCATGGTCTACAGTGAATGCAAGAGAGTAGCACAGAGAGGGACAGGGTCAGGTGACAGAAACCGTTGGCCCATCTGTTGTCAAAACTCAAAAGAGCAGAGACAAGTTTTGTAGCAGTTGATAGTGCTAGAGGAAGGGGCTTCCCTCTTACCAGGGAGGGACTGTTACAACATGGACCCACCAGTCTGAGTAATACTGTATGTGCTCCCAATGAGAGAAATGCTCGTGTAAATCTAATTTATCACCAGACAAGGTTTAAGTTGGGGAATTCCCCAGTGCCTACACAGCTGCTACAATGTAGAGTGAGCCTCAGTCCAGTAAAAAGAGACTTCTCAATAGTCTTTTCTTTTATGTTCTAAATCAGGATACTTTGATTCATGCTCCGTAATCCTGATTATGATACCTCAGAAAATTGGTTCCATTCTTTTTGACACTGTTTTAGATGATCAGAATCAACTTCCTGGAGAGTTTAACCAGGGTTTTCCTGCTGTCATCAATATTAAAAAATGTAAACAAACATTTGTTCAAAAAACAAACAGAAAAACCCTCCACCCATATAAAAATGCAAAAATACAATTGAAGCTTAGAGCATGCTGTTAGGAGTGACACAGCAAACCAAAACCACAGCTGAAGGACTTTTTAAAAGGTCCGTATTCAGTGTCCTAAAACTGTTGAGAAGAGGGAAAAAGATAAAGGTAAGCTTAAAAAAACAACTTTTGCATGTGTGAACAAGGCTGAAGTACAAAACACCACAGACTTTGTGTTATGTCTTCTCTTGAAATATTGTTTAGAGTTGGGTGATATTTATGTGATTAGCCCAGGAATAGTGATGTAGACTCAGTCCTCTTTGTTATTTCTGAAGCCTTTTCAGATAACTGCATATTCTAAGCTTGAAGGTTTAACATCATAGATTGTTTTTGCACATTTTTTAGCCTTTTGACTTGATAAATGGCAAACAAGAACAATTGCACTTTACAGGCTGTGACTGAGAATTTAGTTGCACCACCTCCAGAAAAATGCACTGAAAGCAGGTGTGTTTGTAAGTGTTGACTCTTAGAGACCCTCCATATTTTATAGAAGTGGAAGTAGGTCAGTAGGGCTGGGGCTTCTGTTTGGGGGCTTTTTCTCCATCAAGTGATGGTTGAAGTGTGTAAACCGTAAGCAGCAGGCTTGATTGAGTACTCTGATACTATATAGTGCTATCTGCAAACATTAGCTACACATAAGCGATGAAAAATAAATAAATAAATGTGACAATAACAGATAGAAACTCAGCCTTCTAGCCATGGAAACATTTTTTTTAATACAGATTTAAGCAGATTTTTCTTATTATTATTAATTTGGTTAAGCAAATTGATGCAAACATAAATCTGCAAGAGCATACAAAGCACATTTTCTCATCAGATTTGTGCCTGCTAGTCATGCTCTGCAAGACCAGGTTCAGGAATACAACATGAATAGGGTGGGGCTGAGTGCACTGAGAGTAAGCTGGACAGTTGTTGCTCACCGTGCTGCTGCAGTTGTTTTGACATGTGGTCTTTTTTTTTTTTCTTTTTTTTTTTTTTACTACATGCACTGCTGCACAAGTGCCAAGTAAATGACAGCAGCTGGATTTTTAAGAGTTTAAGAGTTAGCTTTCCTCTTTTCTTGTGAGTGTTATCCAAACATTTCTGTTTCTTTAAACGAATAAAAGTAGAAATTTGAACCTTAAATCTTAAGTGCGTGATGAATTTGATTCTGCATAAAAGAAGCACTTCTGTTTCTGGCCTGTATTGTGTTTTTGCATCACAGCATCTGTCTGTGGACGTGGTAAATATCTAGCTTCTGCTTCTGATGAGTCTCTCTCTCTCCAGCCAGAGATTTGTTTAGGACGGTCTCCGTGGCAGCAACAGCAACATAAATTGGCACACTGTGGTGCTATAGCACGGATAGGAAAAGGACACCACACAGCAGGGCAGAGGGAGGTACTGTCTGTGGGTGGGCTCAAATGATCCTAATCTCAGTGCCAAATCCAACCCACCCAAACATATTTGGATGGAAATTTGAAGACTCTCAGATCCTGGATTCTGGTAACTATAGGCCTTGGCACTTAAAGGGCTCAGTTGAACAAAACAGGAAGACAGAGGGGGCTACAATTGTGCTCTGATTTCATATTTTCCCCACAGACTTTCGAAGGCTCGCACAACTGAATTTCCAACTGAAAAAACTGAGGGGAATACAATTTAAACACAATCAACACAATCCTGTAATATCACAGGGAGGAGATTTGAATAATGGAAACGAAATAGAAACGAGCGTCAGCCAAATAACTGCATCCCAAGTCTCTAAAATAGTTTGCTGTTGGCACCAATCTAATAACCCATGAACATTCAGTAGTAGAACTTGCAGTAGGTTCAATTTTCTTGGGCTTGCAGCATTCCTATATAACTAGAGCTGGGCGATATGAGATTTTTTTCATATCACGATATGTTTTTTTCATTTCAGGCGATAACGATATCTATCACGATATAAGCCAAATAACTATATTTGTAAGATTTAAATGTGCCGTTGCTCACAAGTAAAATGTGAAATAATCAGCAGCTTGTTTTTATTTAAATATTTATTTCCCATAATAAGTTCAACAGGGTAGATGTACTTAAGGAACATGAGACTTTTTCAGATAAATAAAGGCAAATATTGCAAACTACACAAAAGGCAGCCGCTAAAGCGTTTAAGTTTCAAAATAGAACAAACGAAACAGACTAAATTGTCAATTCCACTTAGAAACAAAATATTAATTCTAAAAATAAATCTTAGTTTGTTTTACAGAAGAACAGACAAAACTGACTAACTTTTGTCAATATCAAATAAACTGAGAACTAAAAGGAAATTCTCAATCTCTCCTTGTTGTATAGCTGAGCTTTTCAAACAGTTTTAACAGTTACTTTAGTCTGACAAAAGCCGAATGACGAATTAGCGCTTCCAGTCAGAGACTGAGGCTACGTCCACACGTACACGGGTATTTTTGAAAACGGAGATTTTCCGTTTTCGTTTTAAAAAATAATCCCGTCCACACATAAAGGCAGAAATGAAGGAAAACGCTGCTATGAACATGCCAAAGCAGCAGGTGGCGCTAGATTCCTAACCGTGCAGAAATGTTGGCCAATCAGAAGTCTAGAAGCCTCGGTGGGAAAAAGTAAACAAAGCTGGGGCATAGAAGCAGAACCGAGTCGTATGTGTGGAGGGACAGTAACTGTGTGTATATGTAAGCATTTAAACACTGCAGAGAGTAGAATTAACAGTATTGTAGAAATTCATTTCACCGAAACAATAACGTGGCGCACAGTGTGACGCATGCACCAGTTTATTGTATTTCCAGACTTGCTTTCGGCACAATTTACAGTGCACGCTACTCTGTTTTTTGTCAGACTTGAAATAGCCGAAATACCTTCACACTACGGAACTTCTATGGCTCTTCCGTTCGACAATCTCTCCGGCGTTGGAACCATCATCTGTTTTCTCTTCGGTCACGCTCGGTTGATTTTTCTAGTCGGCACACTCATTTCCTCCATTATGCGCTGGCTCCATTACCCGCTGGCTGCTTCCCAAACAAACACACGTGCGGCTTTCACGCGACGTGACGCTGCGGCTGTGATTGGTTCGGCTCTGCGCTACTTAATTTGGATTGGCTGACCTTTTTTTTTTTTTTTTTAAGAGGACAAGAGCGGCGAGGTCTATCGCGATAGCTTAATTTCTCTATCGAGTAAAAGTTATATCGCGATACATATCGTTATCGTTCTATCGCCCAGCTCTACATATAATACATTTTGTGTTGTTTACAAGGGATGTAATGTTTAGCTGTGATTAGATTAAAGTGCCAGCCAAAGAAATTTTGATTTATGAGATTGCGGATGGAAATTGGACAAATTCAATTAGAAAATCTGATGTCTGAATCCACCTTTTTCCTTTTGAAAGTGATGTTCTATGTAAATGGTTCTTTTACGTGGTAGGACAGTACTTAAGACATTCAGGTGTGCACTGGGCAACTAACAAAATATTTGTTTGGACGACTTTAACTAGGATTTTTCATTTTTCTGAAAGTTTAAATCAGGTCAGCATGCCCCTCTTATTATTGTATGTGTGCGCATGTGCGTGTGTGTTAGTGTATAAACCTCCTGGCAAGCTTTTGACAAAGCATTGCAGCCACAACTGTGGTTTCCACACTGAGATTTACAACCCAAATGGTTTTTATAACCTCTGTTGAAGATTTGTGTGTGTGTGTGTGTGTGTGTTAGTGTTAGACAGAGGGTGCAAATGGTAGCCATCATGGGGCAGGGTTCTTACTAACTGGACATATTGCAGCAGACTTCAGCTGACTTCCTGCTGTGTTTAACTGTTTTTTTTCTGCACTTATCACAATTGCTTTGATCTCTTTTATGCTGTGTTCACATTTTCTCCTGCAGATGAAACTGAGATGTCTTTGAGGTCTGAATGCCATTGGTAAAAATGACATTTTTCTTTTACTTTTAAAAAACTACAACTGTTATATTTTTATAGTTTTAATGTCTTACAAGCTAACCGTTCCTATAAAGGCTCATAAAAACTATAAAGAAGTTAAAAAGTGATAAAGGAACTAGACAAACGTTACAGTATAATACAACTTTTAGCCCTTAGCTTACATCTGTTCACATATGTCCCTTAAACAAGGTGGGCTAAATCATTCATTGCTGGACTTTAAACAAGGTTAATGAAAAACGAAGGGAAAAAACTAATTAGTGCCTCCCAGCTGATCTTTTTTTTAGTGTTTAGTGTTTTTAGTGTTTTTAATGAAACCATGCAAAATTTGACTTTGATGGTATCAATATTTTCCAGATTAAAGGCCCTTGGAGAACATGGGGCTTTTAATGGGTTTATATGTTTTGGGGTTTTATTTATGTCATTTTTTATTTGCTGCCAGCATTTCTGAGCCCTCATAACTTCTTTAGTAGTGAAGATGGCCACATTTACTTACAGACATTTACTTGCTGTATGTGAATGCATGATGCTTGATCACAAAAATGACTTTATGTATTCATTCCAGTATTCAGAATTATTATTTTTACAATAACTGAATGGATATGCTCATTTTATTTGCTTGGTGTCAACAAAGTGTCTCCTTTTGTATTTTGTATGATGAGATTTCATACTTTTGCATACACTACGCAAAGCAGGCTTCATGTGGGAGGCTATTTAGAGATGGGAAACAAATTCTAGCACTGGGGGAGTAGACTCACCTGTGGTGATGTCACAGGAGTAACTTTTTTTCTGTTGGTGTGGCGGGATCATCTATCACTGGATAGATGAAGATGAAACCAGAAGTGACAATTTCCTGAGTTATTTTGGCAGCTTCTGCGATTTCTGCACTGTCATAAAAGAAAACAAAAACCCTAAAAAAAACAATTGGTTTTCTGTTTCAGTTGATTATTTTATTAAGTGGGATCAGTGGAGACCTGTCTTTCGTCCCATGGACGAATGCTTCCTGTATGAGCTGTAAGTTCCTTGCACTGATCATGCATAGTAAACAGACTCACTCAGCTACATTTACACCCGGATGAATGAATGTCATGACATAAAATATATATTTTGTGATTTTTACTTGATTGAAGGCTGAGCTTTAGTAATCTATAACAAATATAAACAGCTCGACTGCATAACAAATGTCCAAAGTAACAACAAGGCAAACTTAAGCTGGTTAAATGTAGATTCCAGTCTGATCAGATTGGATGTGCAGTTGTGCGCTGTAAGAAAGTTTGGCTGCGCCCACTGAGTGTGGGAAGATAAAGCTTTAGTCTTATGTAAGGAGAGATTCCAGGAAGCTGAATGTCAGGATGGAAGTGTCTTCTCTCTGTAATGTACTGCATGGCTCTTCATCTTTGTCTTCTTTGCTGTGTCCATCTCTATTTTTGTCACGGATGTGGGCCGTGGAAGCCGCCTGGGAGAGAGCGGCACATGGATGAATTTGGATACCCGATGAAACGAATCGCTTGTTTTTAAACTTTTTTTAAATTTGCTAAAGGAGGGGGTGGTAACCAGCTCTGTTTGGAGGTAAAAGCTTTGTTTTTATAAAAACCCAAATGGTGTTTGTTCTGTTAAAATATGCCCACATGGGGTTTCCAGGTAGAACAGAAGGTTATTAGGAAACTTCTACCTGGCTGTAGGCTATGCAGACAGTTTCCTCGTGCACACACCCTGATCTGCCCTGTAACACTTGCTTCCACACCCCACAAAAACGTTACTAATCAAACCTGAATCATTATGCTTTGGTATGAAAAACACACTTCTGTGTGTGCGTGAGTTCTTGTATAAATAGGAATGAAGTTGTGTTTTGATAAGAATGTAACCTGGAAGCAACAGTTATTACATTTTATCCACTCCATGTTGCAGCTGTTGAAGTGTGGCATTGAGACATTCTCGCTGTGGACCGGAATCACTGGATTAACTCCTTTCGGTCATTTTTGGATCACTTTAAAAAAGAGAATTGTCAGAGTTTGGGACTTGCAGTTGATTTGGAAAGGCAAATGCTCGACTGCCACGCAGCTGTTTCCCAATATTTAAATTTAAAATTTGAATAAGATAAAAAGAGGTGCAGGTGTGATGGAAAACTGATTGTTATTTTGATATTTAGCCTACCTGTGTTACGGTACGCACTATTTTCTCAGGCCTTTGTTTAGACAGTGTCCAGCAGAGTCCTTATAGTCTCGACTGAAGCTCTGTTGCGTCCGTTGTTTGGTCATTTTCACAGCACAGATGCTTATTCAGGGATATCAGTGCTGTAGGCATAAGTGGACAATGATTTGAGACAAAAATGTTTCCAACTTTTGATTCTAGTTTGGATTTTACTCAAATTTTACTCTTGCCTCCTACTAATTAGTGCACTAATGACAGTGCTCATTATAGCATTTTAAAACCTAATTTGCTTTGAAAGATTTGTAACATTTTTTTTAAATTTTTGGTGTTTTACAGAAACCTCTCCTTGCTACCAATCCTGTGTATATGCTTTGCATTAGAAGATAGGTTAATTTCAGATCAGCAGGATACTGCCCCGGTGGTCATGTGTTCAAAGAAGGGCCAGTTGGATCAGCAGGCGGGAGGTAGAGTGAGGACGAAAGCACTTAATTGGCTCTCAGTGGGAGTGTGTAATCCTCTGGGTTTTAGAGACCGAGGGAGGGACACAGAGCAACCTGCGCAAGATATAAACGTGCACAAATGCATGCACATACTGCTGGCTCGGTCAATCTCCTCTGAAATCGTATGCCGCGTGTGCTCTGCAAGAGATATGGACAGGCCATAAAACTCGTGTTTACACATTTACAGAGTTTCCTTGTTGAAGTGTAACAGGAAGTTTATTCCCCGTCCTCCATTGAAAGGCTCAGTCCAGAGCTCCACCCTCCCCACTTGTGGACAGACTTTACAGATCGTGCTGTAATCAAATATTTAATTGATTATTTCATCAATTAAATGTCTCATTAATAGGCAATAATAAGCAATAATAAATATTAATATTTAAATATAATAAATATTTAAAAGAGACACCTTTTGAATACTGTACATTCTGTCAAAAAAAACCTTTCATTTCATATGTGTCATATTAAAATGAGATTTTTTTTAGAAGGAAACATTTTTTAAATGCCTAAACAAATAATCACAAGTACAATATTTTATGTTAATGCAAATTTTAAAAATATTGTTATTAAAGCCTTGAAATGAGTCCAGTCCAGTACACCAGCGCTTCTTTAGATGTAGCAAAAACTTTGCACTGAGGGTTTTGTTATAATCGAGTTCCTTGATGAGTCATTCAGACCCTACAGTCATGTTTGTGGTGCTTGTAAAGCATTAGTGCCTCTACTATTACAGAGAAAGATGGAACAGTTGTACTTTAAGGCATTTTCTTTTCGCACCAGCCCAGAGGCATTAGCAAGTTCCATAGTGTTCCAGTGTAGTCTGCAGTTGTTTGAATGTTGTCCTGGCTCAGTTCCTACTCTTCCAGGTGGGTGTGGCCCTGTGAGTCACAGCGAAGCACGGCAAACAACATTCATAGTGTGTTCTGACTTTCAGTTGGTTTTACAGGGAGGGGAGTAAGAGTCTCGTGTTTAGCCTTCTCGCATACTTTGGATGTTTACTGGGTTTGTTTGTCTAATTTTACTTTCAGAGACACTCTGTGCCTGTTCTTATATTTCTCTCTCCGTGGTGAGTGAGTCACTTCCTGTCAGGAGCTCTGCCAGTTGCAGGGAACAAAAGCATCACAGCTCTGTAAAAAGGACTGGGTTTGTTTTTTGTTTTTTAAAAAAGTGTCTCTAAGTTGACTAACTGAGGGACAGACATGAGTAAAAAGGCAGGATATCCCCATTCAGTATTGATTTGAAGCATAAAGGCACTCTCGAGGCTTGTTTGTCTCCAAAAGGATTCCCATGCAGTGGATAAAAGAAACGCCCTCTTTGTAATTAACTGTCATGCAGTGCCTTCTTTCACAGAACAGTTTTGTTTTCCTTCCCAATTTTCTAACATTCCCGCTCTTTCTGTTCTTCCTGCTTTTCTCTGTCCGCTCTCACTCTCAGCTCCAGCTATTCAACAGCAGCGTTAGAGTTTGAGAAAGAGCACCAGATAGCTCCTGTGTACGAGTCGCCCAGGATGTCACGACGGAGCCTGCGTCTCCAGACCAGTGCCAGTCACTATGGAAACGAGAACCTGGCTGATTACTCCCAGAACCACCACAGCAGCAGCAGCAGCAGCAGCTACACCAACACCAGCACCAGGAGAGAGACACGGTGAGACCAGCAATGGGCACTTTTCCTCTTTGACTCTAACATTTAACTAACCAAAGAGTAAAAGAAGAATTTTAATAATAATAATAATAATAATGGATTGCATTTATATAGCGCTTTTCAGACCCTAAAGCGCTTTACAATACCACTATTCATTCACTCTCACATTCACACACTGGTGAAGGCAAACTACAGTTGTAGCCACAGCTGCCCTGGGGCAGACTGACAGAAGGCGAGGCTGCCATATCGCGCCATCGGCCCCTCTGGCCAACACCAGTAGGCGGTAGGGGAAGTGTCTTGCCCAAGGACACAATGACCGAGACTGTCCGAGCCGGGGCTCGAACCGGCAACCTTCCGATTACAAGACGAACACACACCTCTTGAGCGTGGCGATCGTGGATTTATTTATGTTGTTTATTTACGTTTGGTCATTCTGAATACCAACACAGACTGATTTGTGTCTCATGGCTTAGCTTCAGAATAGTCTGCCACTCCATCTACATTAAGCTGATTCTGTGGACTTTTCTTATCACGTAATTTTTCTTATCTGTATTTAATTTGTTTTCTAATGCAGTTTTGTATTGCTGTTTGCTGTGTTTTAATTTTCTATTGTATGTCTCTTGTGATTATTGCTGGGTATTTATAGTTTTATTTTGTTCTGCAGCACTTTTTGACTGCATGTCTGTAAAAAGAAACCACAGCTCAGTTGCGGGTTTTCTTTATTCCCATCCAATTACCAAACTCACAGCTCTGTTTCCCCTCTCTGCTAACACAGGACGCTGCGGAGCAGAAAGCAACAGTCCAGTTCCAACTCCCTGTCTTTATCCCTGAGCCAGGCCGCCACACCAAGGAAAACCCTCACCTTCTCAGCTGGTAATACCCCCATTAACAGCAGCAGCAGCTTGCAGCAAAGCAGCACAGCGTCTGATGCCGCTCAGATCACAGCCATCGTTGAGCAGCCCCATCTGAGGCAACGCACTGTCACTACCACCACAACAACAACTTATGTGGATGGACACTGGGGTAAGTTGGAATAAATAGCTACATAACAATAAAGGCTCAATCGTGAAAGAGAATACTTCTGAAAAATCTCCTTTAATTAAGCATTTTAATTTGATTCCACAGGGCAGAATATACAACTGAACTTCCTCTCTGAAAAAATAAAGTGACAGATGTTATTTTTTTTAGGTCCTAAAGACTCTATCAAAAAGAATTTAAGGCTTATCTTGGGTAACTGATCTTTGTTGACCCTATATTAGATAATCTTGCATACCCAGAATAATTGCTCAGGAGTGGAGGTACGACAGGATGAAGTGAAACTGCTGAGTTGGTTGAGAAAATGAGGCGGAGTAATGGTAAAGCAAAATGTTCAGTCAAGTAAAAGATGTTATTACAACACAAATCAGAATATATAAAACAAATATTTATGTTTGGGTAATTGCAGGGTTTTTGTTTGTTTTTTTAAATTAATTTTTTTTACTTAATTCAGACATTTGAGTATCAGTTTTATTTTTGAATGTGAACATGTTTACCTGCTCCACGTGGGCACCTGAGATCCTCTGAAACTCCCTCAAAAGCAGCTGCACACAGATCTGTGGATGGTATCGTTTCAAATTTCATTTTTCTACAAAAACGTCTCTCACAGAGTGAGGCACATTTCTAACTCCCTTTCTATCGTTCAGCGAGCTAAAGCAGCCAGATGGAGGCCGCTTACTGTGCGAGAGAATAACAGGAGACATTCTGTTGCTTCTAACTTTCTCTCTGACTGATCATTTCCACTCAAACATCTGACGTAAAATCACTTTCAGACATTATCATTAATGCTCGCGGAAGCTTCAGATATTCACTGTTGACTATCACTGAGTCTGAGGGGCGCAAAAGCCTGTAATCTGGAGAGCCCTGTTTTTTGTTTTAAGAGGACTTTTCCAGAACTCCATACCAAAAAATGTATCTTAACAGCAGTGTACTCCAGCACACTTACTGCAGATTTATGCAATCTTGCAAGAGAGAGTAAAAGATCTTAATCCTTATTCTGCTACAGTAGGTTTTTAATGTTGCTGTGTGCAGTCAACTACTTTAACACCAGGAAAAGAAAATGTAGCTAGTAGTTTAATGGTTTCCTTTGTGTTTGTTAATGAATGATTCATAAACATGTGAACACGCTCTCCTCCTGCAGGGCAGACTCCCAGCCACAGTTTATCAAGTGTCAACGGCGATGCCAGTACGTCAAAGTCCCACGCCGCGCTCTCCAATGGCTACATTTGCAGAGACTGCTCTGTACACTCTCAGAAGACGGACTCCTTTGTCACACAGTCCGCATCGTCATTATTATCGTCATCATCGTCGTCAACATTTCAAGCTGCCGAACCTTCCACCGATGCCCTCTCGTCAACATCATCACCTTTCACCAGTATTTACAGCAGAGACAGGAGTCGAAGGAACAAGACGGGTGAGAAATGTCGTACTTAAATGCAGCCATTGTTTTTATTGCTTGGATAACTGAGCTGGGAGGTTAAATGCATGTTTTCACTAAGTTGTGAAATGATGAGAATGTAATCAGTAGTGGTGTTTCTCTACAGGTGTCCTGGCTTCCATGTCTAACACGTGTATACGCTACAGCAAACAAGCCTTGGCCCCCATAGTGTCCTTAGTCACTGTGCTCTTCAACAGTGTGGTCTGGCTGGGTTCAAGGGCCAAGAGCCAAACAGGAAAAGGTACACAAAAAGAGACATTCTTTTCCCGTCATTTCCACATTTTCCTCTCTCATCGTTTGTCCCAACTTCCTGAGCCGCTCAGAGTGAGACTCTTGGTGATCTTGAGAGAGAACTGACTCCAGGAGCTTTTAGAGATGTGTGCAGCTAATTTGAAACCTCGTGATTTCTACCTCAGCAGCCCTGTCACCATCACTCTGTCTCACTCTCTTTGTGTTTCATGTGTAACCTTATTACCTTTTCCTCTTGCTGGACTCTTTCCATAGCTTCCTGTTTTGTTTTTATCCGAGTGCATCTTTGGGGAAACTCCTCTATCATTAATGTCACTTCTTCCTCGTCTTATCACCAATATTTATCTGTAGCTTTTTGTTGAGTGTGTGCATTTTTGACTAACACTAAGAATGCGGACCGGTGTGTCACCAGGTGCCTTGACATCGTTTTCGGACTCGGTGAGACAAGCGGCGTCCTCAAGTTTATCCCAACTGTGGCTATTAAAGCAGACCACTCTCCACAGGATGATGGGCCACGGGGCTAATGGATATGAAGGACAAGGTACCCACTGTTACTACTAAGGGCAAAGGTTAAAGGTCGCAGCTCCTGACATCTTCACCTGCTCTTGTGTTAATAAACTTTCCTGTTATAATTTCTTTTTTATCACTTCCTTCCTTCTTCAGCTCTTACTGTTTTGTTTGTTTAAGGAGAAAGGCGCCTCAAATGGAGATTTTTTGACGTTCAAGAATCTCTTCCTCATGTGTTTATGTCTCAACCTTCACTTTCACACTTTTGGCTTCTGTTTCTGAAGGAGGAAGTAAACTAAACACAAAATTAAAATCAAAACAACCATCGCCTGATTGTCAAGTGTCGAGTATGTGGCTGGTCAAGCAGAACTAACAAGGCTCTTTGACTCCAGCCACTTTATCAATGTGCAATCAAAAGTTTTAATTAGCAAAAAAAATTTATTTCCAACTCTGCTGCTGATCTAAGCTGTTTTTTTTCACAGCTGCAGAACTTTATCAACTGTGACCTTTTCACTACATGTGTTTTCTCCTCACTCTTCTATCTACTGCTCTTCATTTCCTTCACGAGGACTCCTCATCGTCACATTAGTGGCGTGCATTTTGCCATCCTCACACTCCGCCTTCCTTTTCATCAGAACTTTCTCACACAACTGATAATATTGCTAATACATGCCCTGTGTGTATATTGCAGCTCACTCGAGCTACTGTGGAAGCATGAATGTGAAGGATCTGGTTACTGAAGATGCGTCACATCTTAATCTCAATGGCTCCCTGTGTAAGCAGGCACTCACACACACTCACACACATGCATGTGCTCATTTTCTCACACGTAGCATGATTGACAGAGTTAATGATATGCGTGACCTGTGTCTAGATCAGCGAGCAAAGGTTGTGTGAACTGATTTAGCTGGTCTGAAGCCCGTTGACCGACGTGACCTGCAGATGTTTCTTTGTCTTAAATGTGTGCCTCAGACTAATGTCGAGCCATCAGTTTACACAAAAACGTCACACGACTGACCATGATCCAAGAAATAAAGCAAATTACTGGTTGAAAAGCATCTTGTTTTAGACTAGTAATAGGTGAAGTAGCTGCTGGATTTCACAATGGTCTTTAAAATTAAGAATAAAAGAAACAAATATGACAAATACCATTTTCAGTTGTTCTTCTGAGTCTGAATAAATTCTTAAATAATTAGAGACGACCTTTAAGTCAGGAAACGCAGCTTTGCATGGTGCAGCATCTCATGCATTGCAGAGTTATATAGAATATGCATGCTCATGGCTTTTTAAAAAATTATAATATAATTTGTTTTTCATTTTCTTTATTTTAATTTGCTTTGCTTTGATAATTTGCCCGACTGCGTTTCTTATTTTTTTTTTTTTTGTATGATTTCATTCACACATGCTTTTTTTCTGTTCATTCTGCGTGCCTGCTGTCCATCATTTGGGCTTACACAGGTGATGACTGTAAAGGGAAGCAGGTCTCTGAGACACACACCGTCCTCCTCAAACAGTCGTCTAGGTCCCGCCGACTGGCGGGGGCACTGTGGAGCGTCCTAGTTTATGCAGGTTAACCAGCACTTCTCTTATTGTTGATCACACCGTATAAATTTACAGGAACATGTATGTTTTGATCGTTCAGTTGCAGCTCGATCAGTTTATTGCTTTAGCTGAGTTTAGTGAATTAAACATTTCCCTCTTTTACCCTGTTTTGCAGGTCACTGCCTCCTCCAGCCAGGTTACTGTGTGATGAGAGCAGGCAAAGCTTTAGGTTCAGGTGTAGGGACGGCAGCACAAAGGATGCTCTCACTGTTCTGGATGCTCCTGGCGGCTCCAGGTCAGTAGCTCTTGTTTTTATTTCATCTTTTTAGAAATGTTCATCCTCTACTTCTTTCTTGCCCTCTCATTCTGTGTGTTTTGTATTTTTCTTTCTCAACAGTGAAGGCAGGCAAAGGACTTCTGTGGTTTCTTGCAACAGGATGGTACCAGCTGGTGTCTCTCATGTCTCTGCTCAACGTCTTCTTTCTAACCCGGTAAGAGTCGTCCTTCCTCAGCTGTCTTTCAGAATCTCGCAAGGAATAGAAGAGAGTTCAACATTTAATCTGTTGAACAGCTTTCAAAATACTAAAATATCCACATTTGATTTTTCCAAGATAAAACTGTGCAATAATATAATGGGATGGATTCCTGCATTTTAGCTGCTAAAGGTGAACTTATTTTCATCAGGAGGTAGTAGAGGCCAAACACGCTGTTAAAAGAGAGTAAACACTGGACTTTCATCATGCAGCCAGAAACAAGACACCAGATAAATGCTAATGATGCCCTGCAACTGCTGTGTACACAGTTTGGTCAAACAAAGAGCTGTCAGGCTCAACTGAGAATCATTATAGTGAGTACGATCAGGTCTGACCTCCACTAGCAATTAAGCATGTGACAGCTTTATCCTAGGCTTTCCTCAGCAGTGCAGATACACGTTGCATATCTAATTGAAAGTGCTGGAAGTTCTGTTAACAAACTCTATGAACTCTCTAAAGCCAAGTTAGGTTATTATGTTGTTATTTTCACTCCCATCGAGTGACCACAGCTCATAATCTTCAAGCAGTAGTGACTGCACTGAGTAAGACATTTGCAGTTCTCATAAAGCCACATTTCCTGAGCTGTGAGAACATTTTGAGTTATTACCCAGGGATTTTGCATTCATGCCACATGTCCTCCTGTCAGTTGTGCGTTGCTCTGATGTATGTACGTTCTGTGTTTCAGATGCCTTCCCAAACTCTGGAAGCTCCTGTTGTTGCTTTTGCCCCTTTTGCTCCTCCTTGGTGAGTGCCTTATCAAATATCTAACCTATTTAGCGAGCACATATAGAAAAAGTGATCGTGTGGCGGTAGATGTTATAACCAGCACGCATCCCCAGAGTGTGGGACAAATCAAGTAGCAGATTCAGGTCAGCCTTTTCAGGGCTGTGCTGTGGTTGAGCTCTGCTCACACAAGCTCTACTCACATAACGGTAAATCACAAACACATTTTATTAATCCTTTGTTTACTTGCTGAAATACTCCTTAGTGTACATGGCTTAGCCCTTACATTGTCATCACAATGGGCTTGCTTACTGCTGCTTCTGTAAATGAGGGAAGGAAATATTTAGACACTGTAGTCTTGCAGCTTCACTTATAAATGTGAATATTCAAATATCTCATGCCTTGTATCATACACATGACCCACAATTTAGACTGTTTTGTATCCACAATGTTAATATGTTGACTCTGTAGGGTTTAGGCTCATATCAGTGTGTTGAATAAGATTTAACAGTGTTATCTGTGATTTGTGTGCAGCTTTGTGGTTGTGGGGTCCGTCCACTGCTGCCCTGTTTGCCTACCTGCCAGCCATAAACCTAACAGAGTGGCGTCCTGCGTCACCCTTCACCTTCTTGTCAAACTTGGTACCAGTTCCTGCTTCTGTACCTGGCCCTGCACCAGAGGCTCCCATGGAGCAGACCCCAGCCACCCCAGTCTCACAAGTATCGGTAAGGGAGAATGAATATATATATACACATGTCACTACAACATGATTATAATCACTGATTGATTTTATTTTTTTTACATGATGTTCATTGATTTATTTCCCTCCTCAGCCAGTCCTTCCCCCTGTGGCAGTCTCCAGTGTGGACATGGAGCGTCTTGAACGCGTCGAGCGTCAGCTAGCCCTGCTTTGGGAGCGAGTCCAGCAGGGTAACCAGAAGCAGGAGCAGCGCCATGATAACATTTTGGGTCTCTACAGCACCCTAAGGGAGCAGCTCCATACGCAGACTGACAGGGACAGCCTAGGACTGTGGGTGGCCTCCTTGCTGGACCAGAGAATCGGTGTGCTGCGAGGAGAGCTGGAGCAGGAGAACACACAGAGAGCACAGGTAGGTGGATGACACAGTGCCAAAAACGCAAGTTAGTGCTGAAAGCTCAAGAACAAAGTTACAAGAGTTACATTTTTTCATTTTATTTTTTTGCAGGGTGCAGAGCTGCAAAAACAACAGCAAGAGAGTCAGGCAGCACGACTGGCTGATTTAGAGTTACTGCTCAAAGCTCTGTCTGCCAAGACTGAGGTATGTACTGCAGGTTTGCTGCTTTGCCACTGAGAACTTATAAAAGAGCATTAAACACTAAGTGCCAAACAGTTAAAATACTATAATATTTGTATAGTGTTGGAAAAATGGGGTAGACAGCCGAGCTGGTAAGAATGCAGCCCTGGTGTTAAGTCTGTATAAAGGGAACAGTGGTGCAACGTGAAATATTTAAACTTGCACTTTCTCACTGTGAAAGCCAACAGGACAAAATCACATGTCCTCCTTGAAAAAATAGTATCCAGTATGCATCTTGTCACTTGCAGTTTTTTAAATATGCTAACCGAATCCTCCTGTTTTTATATTTTCTTCACTGCTTCCATAACTGTTTTATATGTGTGCGACAGGAGGTGCAGCAGAAGCAGCAGCAGTATGAACATGAGAAGAAGAAAAGAGAGAAAGAAGCTGTCACTTCAGCTGCAGACACGGCTCCTGTGAGGTACAAGAAAAAAAAGGAGAATAAATAAACCTTACAGTCCACTTTTTTCCCTTTATTTTGTTGTTTGTGCGGTTTACATTTTGAGTTTCTGTCTCCCGATCAGTGTGGGCGTGAAGCAGGAGGACCATGACGCTCTGCTAACAGAAGTACAGAGACTTGAGGTAGAGCTGAGTAAAATCAGACAGGACCTGCAGGGCGTTGCAGGATGCAAGGGCAGGTGTGAGCAGCTGGACACGCTGCAAGACACTGTAAGTCAAATATTGACTTTTGTTTGGCTTTGTAAGACAATAAAAGCTTAGCCTGCTTGTTCTGTGAATCCTCTTGTATGAGTTTTTAAAATTGTCCCCGTCCCGCTCCCAGATATCAGCCCAGGTGTCCTCTCAGCTGCGTAAGGAGTTGCAGGCTCTGTTCTTTGGTGTTGGTGCTTCCGGAGAGGAGCAGGGCGAGGTGCCCGAGTCTCTGATCCACTGGCTGTCCCAGCGCTACGTGAGCACACCTGACCTGCAGGCTTCTCTGGCCTCACTGGAGCTTAGCATCCTGAGAAACATATCCCAGCAGCTGGAGGTCAGCAGGACCCAGACGGTGGTTGAGGCTGAGTCCAAAGCCAAGAGCATTGTTCAGACAGTAACCGGAACTGTCCGGCACACTTCTGCTGCCGAGGGACTGACAGAAGAGGTAATGTGTGCACACTTACCATCAGCATCATCAGTTGCATTTACATAATCCTAGTTGAGCTCAGTCTTGAAGACTGTTACTTTTCAATGTTTTTTTTGTTTTGTTTTTTTAGGCTCACATGTCATTTTTATCTCTGCTTCTTATTAGCAAGTGAAGCTGATTGTGCAGAATGCTCTGAAGCTCTACTCCCAGGATCGGACAGGCCAGGTGGACTATGCCCTGGAGTCTGGAGGTAAGAAGGAGGAAATCTTTCCATCCTTTACACAAGTCAGTAGCTAAGCCAGTGCGGCTCATCAGGCTGGTTATTACATAACTCAGGTCTGTGCAGTAATGTATCAACAAACTGATGTTTGGTACATGACTACTCTTATAAAAACTTTAGGTTGCAAGGTAAAGTACACTGTAAAATCTGAATGCTGCATAAATCACATTATATTCAATTGCAACACGTCTCTTATGCAATACGAGTGCAGGCATTAGCAAGCTCAAGGACACCAGGGTATTAATGCCACAATCTCCATTGTGAAATGTGCCACTAAGCAGAGTGTTGACCTATATGGGCCGGTGACTTCAGCATGTGTGTGCACTGAAACATTGTAACACTTTCATAGAAGAAAAATGCACATTATTTAATTGTAATGCTCTAGTTGCATAGAAGTAATGGCGATCAGTAAAAGCAGTCCTGGTGTTGTGTTGATGTTCTAACTGTTAAAAGCGGTATCGCCATGACTGAGTCGCAGTCCTCTACTTTAACTATAGTGCTCTCACACTGTGCAAAGATTTAAAGTTCACGTAACATCAGTGGTTGGAGAGTTCCCCCGGGCAACTAGTTTGCAGAGAGCATCACAGTTTGCTGGTGATTGCTGCAATAAATTCATCCTGTTGTCTCGCCACACATTGCCTCCTTAATGTGCATGACTGGCATCTCCTTTTTTTTTTTTTTACCCAGGATTGCAACATGCCAGTATATTAAGTTGTGATCAGTTCCATAAATGAGCTCAGACATGTCTGAAATAATTGTTACCGCCACCACTAGTTTGCCTTAAAGCAAAGTAGCAAGACATTTTTTTAAAAGTAAAATTTTTATTGCAATAAGCTCCACGCTGTCTGAATTTGGTGTATTTTAATATTAATGATTTTTTTGTGGACTTTAGAACGAAAACTTCCGGTTTAGTTAATTTCTGATTTTGTGTGTGTGTGTGTGTGTGTGTGTGTTGTGTGTGTGTGTGTGTGTGTTTGTGTGTGTGTGTTTTGCGTGTGTGTGTGTGTGTGTGTGTGTGTGTGTGTGTGTGTGTGTGTGTGTGTGTGTGTGTGTGTGTGTGTGTGTGTGTGTGTGTTTAAGGTGGCAGCATCCTCAGTACCCGCTGCTCTGAGACCTATGAAACCAAGACGGCCCTCATGAGTCTGTTTGGCCTGCCACTCTGGTACTTCTCCCAGTCTCCACGTGTTGTCATTCAGGTGAGCCTCGCCATGAGCTGAATAAAGTTGCGTTGCACCAAATATAACCAGTAAATAGATAGAATCTGCTGATCTAAAAGCCAGTCTCTCTCACTCCTCCACTAGCCTGATGTGTATCCTGGAAACTGCTGGGCATTTAAAGGCTCTCAGGGCTATCTGGTGATCCGGCTGTCCCTGAGGATCCTGCCCACATCCTTTGCTGTGGAGCACATCCCCAAGACCCTCTCCCCAACTGGAAACATCACCAGCGCCCCACGCAACTTCACCGTCTTTGTAAGAAAAACACCAACAAAAACCATGTAATGAGACACCTTCTACTCTAAAGCAAACATCCCAGGTGATCACAGGCTGCTTGTTTGTGTTCAGGGTCTAGATGATGAGTACCAAGAAGAGGGAAAGCTGCTGGGACACTACACATACCAGGACGATGGGGAGTCACTGCAGATCTTCCCGGTTATGGTAACTTTAGAGGCACTTCTTAACATGATTAGAAATGTAAAAATAATAATAATAATCACCTCAATGTTTGTCAGCACTTCCTGAAATCTTCCACTTTTTTTCCCCTCAGGAGGAGAATGACAAGACGTTCCAGATAATCGAAGTGAGGGTGTTGTCCAACTGGGGTCACCCCGAATACACCTGCCTGTACCGCTTCAGAGTCCACGGAGAACCTAGACCTCACTGAACCAACCACCACCACAACCATACTCACTTATATATGATGCACCACCCCATCTGTACATAGCTCTCACTGACTTAAACCCGTAAAACTGAAGGGACTCTGCAGGAAGTTTGTGGATGTTTTTGTATGAAAAGCAAAGAAGATGTGGATTGTTTAAAGCATTGTGCTCAGACCGAGTCATGAACGTAGTTTTTTGCGTAATTTTGAAAGAATCACAGGAAAGTTTGGATGAAGACTGTTAAAGATTGGGAGAATTTGAACCACAGAAGAAGCTAAGTCCCACTGCTACCCTTTTCAAGGCCTCTTGCACTGAATCAGCCCCCACCCCTGAGGGCACCAAGGCTCGCGGGAGCCAACAAACCCACCAGTCCCTCCTCAACACCTTCGACAAGAAGGTGGATGCGTGACATAAGGAGGGGGGCGGGGTTACAGACTCATCTCCACCAATTCTTCACACACCGTATCTGTCTGATTTTTCTTCTTATCTCTGTTTAACTTTTATTTTTTAATGTTTCACATCAGAGTACTATTTTCAGGATGAAGACCACTGCACCTTTGCCTGAGATGATATCCAGGCATGTCACTTCAATTTGTTGTCATGTCTCCACAGTGACTCCTACAGAACTGTTTTGGGCAGTCTGCAGGTCTGCACTCGACGCGTTATATCCACTACATTCTAATCTTGGCTTCATGCATCCATATAGCCATAACTAAGACTTTTATTTTGGAACTGAACATGCTGCCTATGGATAAGCGCTGAATGTTTTCTGAAGCGGCGGCTTTGATGCAAGTTTCCTTTAACTACACAGAAACATTATAAAACCACTGACCTGAGCTCTATGTGACTAAAGTATTAGGAGGATACTCACTATACGTCTCATTATGTAGAGACTCGTAGTTTTTACACCATGAAATTACCAATGTTGAACTACTCCTGTCAATAATTTCGCGTTTTCTGTTCTGCTTCTATGAAGAAGAGGTTCACTGTCTCCCTCTAGCTCAGTTAATCGTCCTCCTCACATGAGCTCCCACTATTCTGAAAACCCTGAAGGAATGTAATCTGTATATTTTATTGTTGATAGCTGATGCGCTGATCCTTTATAATATCTCCTTTTATCAGTGTTGCTTTATAAAAAAACCAACATCCTGTCATTATTATTGTACTACTATGATTTCTTCTGTTACTCGTGGTGTTTTACTTCTTTGATTTGATTTTTGGGGGTGTTCATTTTAGAGGGTGCTCTGCAAGAACTTGTTAGACAAATGTTTGTGGCACGGGTCTTCACAATTTCTTTAAAATTAAGGGTTCTCTCATCAATTTTGGTTCAAAATACGGGAAAGTCTAAATTGTTATGTGTAAAAAGGAAAAAAAAAGACTTTTGTTCACAATCTTATTTATTAACAAGTCAATTAGTGGCTGCAAGGTAAGACTTCCTGCAATGTATATTTTGTTAAAAGCTGTTCAGTGCATTTTGGAACCATCTTAGTTCTTTTGTTTGTTTGTTTTGTTTTTTTAAAGATAAATGGCTATTTTTGTTCAGTCATGAGATGACTTAACTGCTTTGGAATATATTCCAATAAAGACTTTAATTTTGAAGAAATAAATACATCATGGCTAAAAATTACTATGATGAGCTCTAACTTTTCCTCGTTTATATTCACAGTGGAAACGGTTAAGTGAATATGTTGTTGTTTGATCTTTTACATCATCATTTAGCAGGAGCATCTACAAGCAAAAATCTGAGGATCAACAGGCCTGAGTAATTCTGAGTTAACCAAAAATAATATGCATGTGTGTTACCTTAATACTTTTGAGGCATATATAATCACGTGCAAAAGTCTTTACTGCTCATCTCTTCATATTTTAAGAGGAAAATTAGAAATACATGAAATGCAAAAATAGAGTATGAGGCAAAAACATAGTTTGCACAGTTCTAATGAGCTTGAACGTCAATATTTGGTATGACCACCTGATCTCTCTGAGCCAAGGTTTCTTGTAATTTTGTTTAATCAGTCTTCAGGAATAGTTCTCCAGGCTTCTTTAAGGACATTCAAAGCTTTTCTTTGGATGTTGGCTGCCTTTTGTTCTGTTATCTATCGACATGATCCCACACTGCTTCAATAATGTTGACCTCTGGGCTCTGGGGAGGCCAATCCATGACTGATAGTGTTTCATTGTGTGTCTGTGTGTCTTTGGTTTTTTGTTTTTTTTTGTCCATCCAAGTACGCTTGTACTGCATTGGCAGTGTGTTCTGGATCATTGTCATGCTGAAAAATGAAGCTGCTGCCAAGTTTTTTTCCAGATCGTATTGCATTGTAGATCAAAATCTGATTGTACTTTTCTGCATTCATAATTCCATCAGTTTTGACAAGATCTTCAACATCATTGGCTTAAATTGACCCCAGACTGGGGCAGAGCCTCTGCTGTATTTTACAGATAGAAAGTTTTGGCCAGTTGCTCTTTGGGAGTCACCTTGCTGGTGCAAAAATGCTATAAGCTGTGTTATCTTTGGCATTTTTTTAGAATCAACTGTAGGCACAGCTCTGGTTCATCCCTGGAGTTAGGGTTGTGAATGAATCGTAGGTCTGTGTTTAGTGAAAAAGCAGCCAGTGTCTAAAGAAAAGCTCTGAAAGACTTTCTGATAACCTGTACAAGAAAGTCTGTCTCCTTGGAAGCAAAATTTATAGAAATGAGTGGTCTCTCAAAACTTGCATAGTACTTTATTATTCAAAAACAGTCTTCTTTTTTTTTTTTTTACGCACGTTGACTCCTTTATTATTGTTAGGAAACAAACTAAAAAACACGGCATACTCTTTAGTGACTGCCATTATTCAGTGTGTCTTTGCTGAGCTATTTCTTTCTGAGTCTCGCAGTATTGTTAGGTAAATACGCCTTTATAGGATTATTTCTCCTTAACTCCTATCATTAATCTAAGAGTTATATGATCGATACATGTATGTAGTTATCTGCTGCCCTCCAGTGGTTACATGGAAACTAAAGTCATTTTCCTAATTTTGCAACAGCTGAAAGTTTAAAACAAAGATATGAGAACTACAAAAGCAGCAGTAGCATTTTAGGGCCAACCCCCCTCCCCGTCTCGGTTTATTTTCTATGCATTGCATCGTTTCAGTATATTTTCATCGATTACTGAAGCGCTATGTCGGACTTGTTTACACCGGAAGTCACGTGAGCACACCTACCGGTGACTCCATGGCAACCGCTTGAGTTAACATAGATAATGGCAGAGATGATCTGTACTAAGAAATAATTTTTGCAGAAAATGTGGGAAGGTACGGCCTGATCTGTTTGACCCTGTGGTGAAACAGAAAAACAAAGGTTCACGTGTTCACTGTGTCTTTGTAGAGTTTGAGGCCGAACAGCACAGCGGTCCCAGCCCTGCGTGGACAGAGGCCAGCTCTGTGAGCACCCAGCTCTCCCGGCACAGCGTAAGTACACACAGACGACGTGATGTGTGCAAATACAAATCTGTGGGATTTCATCTGGATCCTGTGTCAGCCTCGTTTGAGATAACTGGGCCAGCTGGGTATTCAAATGCAAAACACTAACACATACATGTGATGTGTAAATTACAGCTGCCCTGAGACAAAATGTGAACCTAACTGATGGGGGTTTATAAATATTGCTTGAAGTGCAAAATAGCTCCTCCATTTTTATATGGTTTATAACAGAAAACTATAAAATAAATTATTTTTTAAACTATTTTTGAAGTTTAAATTGTTCATGAAAGTTGAATGATTGCTTTGGTTAGGTACTTATGGATGATCTTCTCAGAGACTTTGAGCCTGATGTTTGCTGTGCTCTCCCTGGATACTCTGCATTAGAAGGACCTCATCCTTCACGGCAGAATCGCCCCCCAACTGCTGAAACTACACCTTTTCCCCAAGTCCCTGAAAGTAAGATACATAGCTGCTCTCCCTGTAATGTGAAACTGTAAGTATTAATACATATTTGCCATCATTATAATTCTGTCTTTAAAATATTGTGCTTGTGTCAGATCCTGTCACGCGTTTCTTGGAGAAGAAAGTGTTTCCAGTGTTGGTACCTGGACTGGAGGCTTTGCTAAGAGAAGCCCAGAAAAATGGCTGCTTTAAGGTCTAAGTGTCTTTAATAAAAATCAATTGTAATCCTACAATTGGACCTCTGAGAAATCAGAAATTAATCAAGGATAAAAATCAACCACTAAAATATTTTTTTTCTGTTCAGGAAGTAAATAACCATAATTTGACATCTTAATCAAAAGCTAATAATTAATTTTATTGTTTTTTTTCTGCTTTTCTTTAGGAAAATGGTAAATTTGAAAGTTCACAGATAACAACAATAATATTTTAATATTTAAGAGTAATTAGTTTAGTGCATCTGTGCCATGAACCTGACATTGGGCGGTAGTCTGATCAATTTAAATGCTGTACAGGAATAATTAGCCAGTAGAGGGATCTAAAAAACAATTCAGTGCTGACAGACACCAAAATGGGAGCTTTGTTGTTTTAACGCTTGTACATTTTGCTGCTTTATAGTCAAGGGAGATGCTGAATGTAGGGCAGTCTCTTTTTTATTTCAGAGGAAAATAACAGCGTTTAACCCATGTGACTTTCTGACTGAGTGGCTCTACAAGTAAGAGTCCTCCTACACACACCTCACTCTGCACTCTGTAGTACTACCCTCACCTCACCACATAGATTCTCTCTGATGTCACATTGAAAGTGCTGTGTATGTGAAACACTGCACGTTTCACGTTTTTCATCCTTCCTCAGCCATAACCCTCGCAGGAGTGGACAGGAACCAGTGAGCTTTCATGACATCCCCTTTGTCAAGGACTGGCTTGGGATGCAGTGAGTATCTCTTCAGTTTGGACACCATGGTTATTATAGCTAACAAAGACGAAACTAAAACTGGGTGTGAAAAAACATTTTAGTAAACGAGAATAAAATAAAAATGCTAGAAGTTGCAAAACTGACTAAAATAGAATAAACATTTCAAGGGAATATTCTTAGCTTTAGTATTTGTAAAATAACGTGAAATTTTCATAACATGTACTGAAGTTATTGTACAAAAACATACAGTGTACAGTTTTTAATCCAGTGTCTGTAGCAGAGGTGTCCAACATAAGGCCCGAGGGCCAGAATCAGCCCTCCAAAGACTTCAATCTGGCCCAATGGGCAATTCTAGAAAATGTGAAGGTGAGCATAAATTTAGGACTTTTAATTCTATCTTCCAACGTTTTGCAGCATGATAAAGAGCTCCCCCATGGCCAATCTTACAACACCACGTTTCACTGGTTTGGCCCACTTTAAAATCAAAGTGGGATGTAATGGGCCCACGATGTAAAATATGTTTGACATCTATGGTTTATAGCACAACGCAACTATAAGCTATGACACACACACACACACACACAAAAACTCCATGTACGCTCTCCTTTCTTGTCTCATCACTCTTTCTTTTCCATTTCCTTCCATCCTCCAGTCCCAGGCCGCCCACTCCTCTGTTTCTGCGGCTCACTGAGTGCGAGGCTGCTCTGCTCATCCAGGCTTTCTGGAGAGGATACAAGGTATGTTGGACATGACTGGAAGCTGAGTGCTTTTTACAGGCTTTCTGTCCCAACATTTAGAAAAAGGGCTGGGGTTTGCAGAATGACAGGTCTGAAAAGCACCAAAAAGTGTGAAAAAATAAACAGGAAACCTAAACTTTAAGAAACGAGGGACGTTTTATGGAATGAAGAGGTTGCATTGCATAGTCTTGGATGCATTTTACATTTCACTGACACACAACTTTAGCTTTGCCTGCTTGACCAACTTCACAAACTCATCAAAGAATTCACAGTGTGGACATAAGATAACACTTTGAAGAAGAAAGTGTGTAGGAGTCCGGCAATCATCCCACAAGAGCACAACGACCCTGTGTGTGTGCGTGTCTGTTAGGCTACAATAGGCTCCCGCTAAGCGTGCATCGGCCAACAGTCTAGTTGTTGTCAGTCTTGTTGTATAATCCCATCCCCTTAAAGAGCCCCCTCTTCCACAGGGGCTGCAGTTTCATTCAGCAGCTTGATTATGTCATCAGTGATGCCAGGCTTTAAATCCCTCCTGTGTGGGTGTTGTGGTCTGAAGCACTCTGTGCTGTGATATAAATAGATATGCACAGACACTTCCAGAGGCAAACAGCAGCATCTCTCTCTGTCACTCTTTCTCCCTCACACACACGCACGCACGCACACACAGATAAACACCAGCTCCTGTGGTGTAAGGATAAGCAAGGGTCATGTTTTGTTTGTCTTGACAGAACCTCTTCTTTTGTGCGTTTCTTATCCGAAGTGCTTGTGGGAGGATTCAGCCTTAGTGTGGCTGCACAAACCACTGAGAGGAAAAGATGCCAGCTGCACCGACGTGGACAATTGCATTACATTTGAATGATTTGAAAATGTGCTTGCACATGTGGGCCTGAAGATAAAAGTGTGGATGCGGGCATAAAAAAAGATGGATCGAATGTGTGTCGTGAACTGCTGGGGCACCAGCAGAGGGCAGCACTCCCTCTTATTTGCCTTTTTTATTTTCTCCATGAACAACAAAATATAATTGATCTCTGCCCACATGTGGTGGCAGCAGTGAGCCAGCTGTCTGTCACTCCTTGCTGTATGTTTATCCTGAAATAAGAGGTTCAGCAGGGCCACTGATAGGACTGCAGCTGAACACCCCAAGGGATTCAGGGAAAGAGAGAGAGAGAGTGGGTAGAGACAGAGTGAGGGAATGGGAGGATTATGAGGAAGGATGATGGTTGGTCTATGTTTGGAACACTTTCGCATGGATGGCAAACGGGAGGAAAGAGGCGAGCTGATGTTGCAAAGTGGTGTCAGAGTAGGAAGATGCAGTTCTTCTAGGGGGTGGGAAAAGGGAGAGAGATGCAGCACAATCAGGGTCTGCAGCTGAGCGTTGGCCTCTTGGAAGACGCCTCTAGGATCATGACTTATTTAGGCTACATGAAGCGGAGCAGAATTTTTGTTTGGTCCTGACAGGCACTGTAGTGTGTTTCGACTGCTCTCACCTTGACTTGAGAAAAACGGCAGTTAACAGCGGAGTGGGCAGCAGAGGAGGGACGAGCACGTCAGCACAAACCGAGTGAACTGTAAAGCACCAGTGCCTTGTTAAACTTCTACTGGGATCATTAAACATAACTATTACAGAATTATTCTTACACCAGCGTGCAATCAAGATGTCGTAGCTCACAAATCTAATTTCTAAGTAAAGAATTCCAAGGAATGTTTCACTCAAATCTGCCTCTCTGTCTGATTTTATGTGCTTGAGGATAGTTTATTAGAGCATAATAGGATTGTGGGATTTTCCTGTAATATATAGTCAGTATAAGATCAGTGCACTCTGTTCACTTCACCCCCATCTGCCTCCACACGCACCCCATTCCCCCCCTCACACTTACACCCTCGGCTGTTATATAACCAGCTTGACGCAGCGCTGACTGCAGAGGGTGTGTGTGTGTGTGTGCGTGTGTGCGTGAGTGTTCTGGTAAGAAAGACAGACAGACTGAAGACTAGGAAGGGGCATGAGAGTATTTTCGTAGAGTGGAATTTTATCCCTCCATTATTAATCTCTTTCATCAAAACGCTGAGGGCTGAAGCAGAGCAGTGCTGGAGTGCACACAGACGCACACACAAACACACATAGACACAGATGCAAACTCATGACCCAGACAGTGCGTTTGTCTTTTGTTTCACTCACGTATAACTGTTAAGAGCTCCTAGGTCTAAACATATTATATAATCTTCTTTACACCGTGTACCTTAACCTAACTATAATCCATTCATCCATGCCTGCTACTTTAATGCACACTGATGTGCAAGCATGGACACATACAGTCTCCTCTGATCACTAAGACTTCTCAGGATTATTCAGCTGAGCTAGAGTAGTGTGGCTGTAGTGTAATAAATTCCCATTGCAATTAGACTGTCAATATTAGTGGGTTGTGGTCTGGTAGCTTTGCCCTTTATCATCATCACTGCCATTTCCACTGGCTCCAGTTGCAGATTTATTTATGTGGCTGGCCTTATCTCAGCTGCAGCGCACCTTTTATCTGACTGGGAAAAAAAAAAAAATCAAACCTAAGTCAGTTTTTTGGGGGGAGGGGGAGGGTCCTTTTTCTGTAGTGAAAACTTGAAACAAATACCATCAGTTGATTTCCACTGGAGAGTTTGGTAGATGAAAAGTCTGATACAACCACACACAGTATAAAACAAGGAGTAGCCACCGTGACATCACCTGTCCTATTTTGAAACTTCGAAGTGTTTTCACTGTCATGATTTTGTTGTTTTGAAACCAGATGTGATAAGCGTTGGCCAGAGCTGACCGTGAAATTCGGCATTCATTGGCTAACTAATTGTCAGCCCTATCCTGTTACCCAATGAGCACCTCCTGGATAAATCTGGTTTTGTGACACTTAGAATGGCTAAAATGTAAAAAGTAAACTTGATGTTTTCTAGTGAAGGGTGATGTAAGGCAGTTAGTTAGCTAGCTGCAAACAGCCAGAATACTTCTAGCTTTGTCCAGTCCAAGACAGCGTTGGTGTCATTATGCAGTGTATACACTGTACCACGTATATGACATATAGTAGGCTTTATACAACTTTGCAACCAAACAGTGAAAAACGTTCTTTCTTGTGCATGTTTCAACACTGTTTTAGCCGATGCTAACTCCGTATGCAGAGTGTGAACACATGCAGCATGGGTGGTTTTATTAACAATTGATGATGTCATCTTAAAAACTTTTTTAAAAGGCTCATACATCTTTTTTCTCACTGATACTTTCTTTTTTACATTCCTCATGCATTAATTTTTGTCTGCTTCCAGAATGTGTCGTTTTTCCTACTCTACTTTTCCTCTCCTATCTGTCACCTCTATCCCCAGCCGGCAGCTGGTCGTGGTCGATGGCTGCCACTTCCTGAGCCTGGTTCTGCCTGAGGTCTCTGCTTGTGAAAATGGAGTGCTACTTTTCAAAAGTGTTTTCTCTCTATTTCTCTCTTGGGTCTTGACATTTTTATACAAAGTGCTTTGAGGTGACTGTTGTTGTAAATTGGCACCACATAAGTAGAATTAATTCAACAGAATAGCAAAAATCTTGGGTTTCATCGGCGTTCTTTCTCATAGGCCTTTTAATAGACCTTTCCTTCCTTCTTGTACTGCAGCTCCAGATATTAAGAAATGGGGCACTGCAAGTGCTGAGTTGTATTCCTCCTGACATAAACGAATAGAGCTGGTTGAAAGAAACACACACATATATGTGCGCACACACACACACACACACACACACACACACACACACACACACACACACACACACACACACACACACACACACATTTGCCCCTCCCCAGAGTACTGCATAGTCAACAGTAGAAGTAGGTCTATGATTCCAGTTCAATGGTCCAAGGGCAGCAATAGATGAATGGTTTTAAATGTGGTTCGCTGTTAAGTCAATTTGATGTACCACGTGCAGTGACACTCATGCAGAAGATATGTCTCAGGCTTGGTCCTTGCTTACCCTCCTGTAAATGGGATGATGTCTCATATTTTCACTTGTGCATTTATCTGTGCCTACATTTGTCTTACTTCTTATTTAAATGTAAGTATTTTTTACCTTTAGGACAGTAGGGTGGCAGTGCAACTGCTTATTGTGACTCAGTCTACAGGGGCATGAATACAGGCCACAGGTCACTGGGCTGGTTAAGCCTTGAAGGAAGCTGTGGTGAACACAAAGATGATGGATGGGTGGAGTGTGAAGGGAAAATAAAGCAGACTGTGGCTGTGTCTTTATGCACTTGGTCGTGCAGCCACTTCCCCGGGTGAGGAGCTCAGTCTCACAGTCAGCTTTACACTGGAAAGGAATGCAGCTTGAAAGGCTGAGTTACGAGACTGCAACGTGTGCGTGCACACCATAATGTTGTATGCAATTGTGGATAATGTGGTGTGTGATAACAGTGGCCCTTGCAGTGTCTCGGTAATTTTTCTAATCACTCTAATCCCAGCCTTCATGCAAACATACAGCATGAGAGGACGGAGTCACATGCACACAAAACCAGGCTCTGCCACGTGAGCAGTGCATCAGCACGTATGATTATATCAAGAAGATAATGCGTTAGCGAAGTTTCACTAAGAATTCAAATGAGTATAAATAACTGTGAAAAACGATGAAGTTGAGATGCATATATTCTAACACGCAGTACAAGTAAAACATCAAAATTCTTAACCAGGCTTCGTGCCCAGGGTCAAAATAACTTAGCCCTGCAAATCAGCTGTGCTGATGCACACAGACAGGCTTCAGAAAACTCAGGCGCACACGCACACACACACACACACACACAACTCAGCCCTTTGTCTCCTGCTGTCATACACAAGCTGTCAGCATCCTGCAGAAAGCTAGTGTATTCATAAAGTCAGCTTTCCAAGAACTGACTTTGATTTTTGCTCCATTTCCATCATTTCTGAGAAGCTGACAGCATCAGAAGCAGAAAGGGAGAATACAAGATTTATGGAGGACATCAGTGAAGAGTGACAGAGAAGAAATGGCACACAGACATAAATAAAGCACACAAGCGATGGTGAGCAAACACAACAGACTTAACCACCCCTCCTCCCTCTGACCCTCACCCCTCATTTCCATTTCTATGGTTTGCTCCCATCAGCAGAGAGGCTGCTGCAGCACTGTGACACCCCGTGAATGAACTATTGGAGCGCTCTAGTTTTACCCATTCCTAAACCTATCACCAGGCTTATATAACAGACCCACTTTTGTACAATAGCAACACTTTTGTTGCCACATAACCAGGCACTTAGGAGAAAGTTGGGGTTGAATGGAGCAGAGTGAAAGGAGACTGGTGAGAAGAGAGGTGGGAGAGAATTCCGAGTGAAGAGAGGTGGATGGAGAGGGAAGAAATACTGATGTGTTGGGGAATCAAGGGAGAGTAATGTGTTAGTATGAAAGACAGTATCTGAGGAGAGATCTACCACCCAGGGAAGAAAGAAGCCTGTCAGAGATGGTTGAGTACAAAGAGCATAGAGGAAAGAAAAAGGAGGAGTAGGAGGACTAGTTAGTGGGAGAAGAATAGAAGGAGGAGGGATAAATATGAACAGGAGGTGAAGCCCTTTACAGATATTTTATTCACATTTGCAACATCAAACTTGCTCGGTAATCTTTCAGGAAGTCCTGCAGCACACACACACACACACACACACACACACACACACACACACAC